TCTCTCCATTTACGTATGCCCTTGTTTTTCAGTGCTTTCCCAACAACCTCTAGCGCAAGAGGTAGACATCCACATTCATCTGCAACTTCTCTGGCTATTCTTACGAGGTCGACATCAGTTTCATATTCAGAAATCCCTGCCGTATCCTTGAAAAGTTGCCATCCTTCCTCTTCATCCAAAACTTTGATTTCGAACCTTTGGGCTTCCATTTCACTACACATTTCTTCAATTCGTGTTGTAAACATAATTTTCAACCCTTTGCGATCATGTGGAGATGGAATTCCTATAGTTCCCAAATCAATATCTTTCCACACATCGTCTAATACTACAAGAATGCTTTTACCATCTTTGACTTCAAGTCTTTGACGAAGTCGTCCGGCTCTCATTACATTTGTGTTTTCTTTAATTTCTAGACCAAGCATTTCGGCAAGTTGGTCCTGAATTTTGTTTATGTCTGGATCGTTAGATACAACTGCAAATGCAACCTCCTCAAATAATTTCTCATCTTTGACTTCATTGACTATTTCCTTTGCCATTGTTGTCTTGCCAACTCCAGGCATGCCACAGATCCCAATTATGCTGATATCTTTGTCCTTTAGAGCTTCCTTGATTTTCTTCTTAGTTGATAACCTTGTTTCGAAAACCTTATGGGAAGTTAGGTTGAACACTTGCTCCAGCGATCGAGGATCGCCCACCCTCTCAAATGTGCCTTCCACTTTGAGATTATCAGCCTCAATAGTCAATTTTGTGGCTCTCCTGCTTAATAAGTAACGAGACTTCAAATTTGGACATCTATTGAATACACACCCCATTTCAGAACCTGCTACTCCGTTCAAAACTCTATCGGCTCTTTCCTTTAAGTCATCGACCTTTGCCAACCATGCCGAAACTACTTCCCTGGTGATTTCAGTATTTCTTTCGACAGCATCAACCAGTCGTCTCACGTCATTGCTCTTATTTTTAAGTTCTTGAACTTTATTCCGCAAATTCTGAATGTTACTGTCGTAGTTGAACAAGTACTTGATTTGGCGCAAAACTGGATCGACTGTGTAATCTGCAAACTTCTCAACAACGCAACAGGCTACGCCATCTGCCATTATCGGATTCTTGTCCTTTTTGTCTTACCTCTTACTTTGGATGAGTAATGAAATTGCAGATTATTTCCTTGGATCCTAGTGATGATTATCTCTGCAGAGTTATTGAGAAAATTACAATAGGACAACATCGATAATTGTAAAATCTTAGCATTCTCAACAGTAAATTAAATGAGAAAATAGGAACGAGGGAAGTTGTATCTATTCGTTTTCATTGCAAAACCCATTGTTTTGCATTCGAACTATCAAATCACAAATTGGTAGCCCATAAAACAAAATAAATTTTTTATAGATTTTCATTTGACTTTAACATACTTTTATAATATTATTGGAAATAATAAAAAAAATATATATGAAACGTCAATATAAACTATTATTTTATTGAATTATTTATCTTTAAAGTACAATGTATTAACCGATTCACTATTCGGATTTGTGATTTGTCCTTATCACAGAAATAGTTAAAGGTGACACAATACATTTGGAATGCATTGAACGGACCACGTGTCGAGTTTATTTTTATAGCATGACCATGTGAAGAATTAAATTCCACTTGATCACGGTGCATTTCATCTAAATCTCTTGATAGAGTTATGTATATCTTTTCGTGACTTTAGTGGTTCTTTGATTCACCAATGGGTAAGATCAATTTGATTGGTCAAACATCTCGATGAATTGAGAGTTTGAGAATGAATGAAATAGAGAACATGAATTCATGTAGTGAAATAGTTTGTGCTCTTACCTAATTAGCGAATCTCAAATGGGGATATACATATGCGACCG